ACAAACGGACAATTCAGTCTCTCTCAGGCAAGCTCCTCTTTAACAATGTAGCCTTCCCTTCTCTATCCCCATACAGTTGCTGTTCTCACCTCTCAAAAGGAACTTCTGCTTTAATAGCCTTTGGACATTTGGTGTGTCATTCAGTATACAAATTAGAGTTGCATCCATTTTTAAACAGCTGTCAATTAGTCTACAATATTTTTAGATTATGGTTTTTACATTTTAATATTTGGTTGGAATTCAGTGTAGGATAATCTGAATTCCTATTTGACATGCACAATTTTTAAACTAGAGTCTGCCTTGTGCAATTCAACTGTGGTACATTAATGTATGTTGTCAAGAAAAGTCATCACTAGCCAATCACTATAGCACATTCACTGGAGACATATTTATCAGTTATTACTATAGAGCTAGTGCAGACTTGAACTTGTTCTATCCTAGAACTCTTAGGACCTGTAACTGATGCAATCCTGAAATGCAATTAATCAGTTTTCCAAACATCAGTTTTCTACAACTTGGTCTGTGACACTCTCAATCCCAACACTCATCAGCATCCATCCGCTCCCCCAGCAGTAGTTACTAACCCCTCAGCCACATCCCAGGCCCCTCCACCAGGCTCACCATGGCACAGTGCCCCCTCAGCACTCAGAGAGCCCCAGCTATCAAGAAAACTATTGAGCACCTACCACCTGGTAGCATCAGGAGACTCCCCTTCTCCCAACTAGCCCAGCTCCTATGCACTTGACTACTTAGTTATCCCAAAGGGTCAGGCACACCCAAAGCTCCTACGTTTCATACATTTCAATACTGCCTATCCCCTTTCCATTATTTTGGACAGAGTTACACAGGCAATGTTTTGTTTTTATCTACACACACATAAAAGTAAAATTAATTTAAGTCATCTGCACAGTGTTATATAGGATGCTGTATAAAATTCGAAAGATGTATTTTGGTTGTGCTAAGGTGAGAAGTATTCTTTGTGGGGTTATTTGCAGTTGAAATGATTGACAAAAAAGCCAAGTATCATATTTACTCGAACAAGACAACCCCCAATAATTAGACTTTATGTATGGAAAATTAATAAATTTGTTATAATTTTTCCAGATATAGGCTCTAATTATTGGAGATTTGCCTTGAATGTGTGTGTTCTGCTCCTTCCCCACCCTCCGCTACAGAAGGGAAAATTAAGCTGGGGGCTCAGGTGGCCCCCCTGCCCTCTGCATGTTTCTTTTGTATTTTCCACAAAAATTGAAATGACCAAATTTAGTGACACATTTGCAGAAACCAAATTACATAGTTATACACATTTGCATTTGGAGAAAGGAAATATTCAAATATATGAATTAAAATCATCTCTAGCACTGCTTGCAGGGTTACATAAAAATAGCATGCAACTTGTCACCTACAACTAAGCAGGCCAGCTGTAGAAGTGAAGAGGAAGTTAAGAAGTATGCAATGTAGTGGCTTACCAAGACTTGAAAAAGAGCCAGCGTTGAGGACTGGGCTTAATGGGCACTACCATAGATCTTATTCAGAAGGGCTGCACTAATCCATCCTTGCGGTTAGTTCCCATCAGCATGTTTGTCCAACATGGGCTATGTGTTTTATAGTCATGCTCAGCACTGGCTGCATTTAATCAAGTTTAATCAAATTTTTAATTCAAAAACATTACTATAGTACTTCAGATTTTTAAAAAAAGTGAACATGTCTTCCCAGCTTTGGGAAAAAGGACTTTAAAGTAAGGGTATCAAACTCACCCTGTGCCCCAAGCTGGATCCAGATTATGGAGCTCTTTGTACGCTGGAACCCCAGAGGCAAGTTACCACTGCAGCTGTGGGGCAAGTGCTGGGACCAGGAGCCATGGGCCAACAGGTCACAGGGCAAGTGGGGCTGTGTCAACCCTCAGTCATCCCTCTGCTCCTGACAGTTCCATCCTAAAAGCCCATACCTCTGGATTCTGCAGGCCCCTGGCCCCTATTTCCCAGGCCTACCAGTAGCCGGGTAGAGTGGCTCTTCAGGCTGCACATTTGACACTCTTACTTTAAAACAAGGAATACACATACATTTTAAGATGATTTAGCAGCAGTCTCAACCCCTCCTCCAGAAATACATATCCATATGCAATAAAGTTTGCTACAAAAACAATAACCATCTTTGGAAATACCTATTTTTTTGGAAAAATCTGTTTGCAAGCAAAGACCCTGAAATCTCTTTTATGCTTGTAACACTTACATCAGACACTGAGGGTGTGTGCTGAACATGCAGCCTGATATCACATTTCTTCGTCAGCAAGAAACAGGTGCAATGTTCTTACTAGAACTAAATGGAACAGTATTTAGGTGTTTCAGATCTCTGCAAGTTCGCCAATTTAATTTTTCTAGCTATTGCAAACAATTAAAAATGTTTTTCCAAATATCTTTCAGCCTCTGATTTACAGTTGGGTTGATCATTACCAGAACTTGAGATCTTAAGCAGTCTGGCCTATGAGATAAAGAATGACTCTTAAACCTGGGACAGATAGTTAGTCACATTAGTCTGAAGTCAAAAAGAAGGCAGGGTAGATTTGTACCTTGGAATAACTAAATCAGAGGTGTACACACTTTTGTAAGCAGCAGCTTACTTCATTGGATGATACTCTGCACTACAGCCTGTATCATAAGTGGTTTTATATTGCTTTTGTGCAATTCAGAACCTTGCTGTTTTTTTAGTGACAACACTAGATACCTAAGAAGCATCAATGCACTGGTCTCCATGAAGACCATTTTGTGCAGTGTTGTACTATGAACTCAAAATATTTTTGTTTCTGTGATTCCAGAAGCAACCCAAAGATGCCGCTTAGGAAAGCCCATGTAGCTCTATTCTATAAAGTGCAAATCTAAATCTGGCCCTCTACCAGAAAAGGGTTGGGGACCCCAGCATTATCACAAACAGTGTTGTTGACATGGAGTAGTCTGACCCTGTGACTTCTGTAGTCCATTTAGCTATTAATGCTTCCCCAGGGTGCACTTCATGCTCTAGTGAAGAGGTTTTCATACTTCCTGAAGTCATGTAGTCCTTTCATATCACTTCTGTCATGGAACCACCACCCCTGAGCTAAAGTCTGATGTGGAGCCAAGCAATCTGAACTGGCAATGGCAACGCATCACCTCCCAGCCCACTATGCCATTACTTCTAGTCTCTTTGTAGAACCCCTGCTGACTTTGCACAGAGTCCCCGAGCCCCACAGAATCATAGACAATGAGGGTTGGAAGGGATCTCAGTATGTCATCTAATCCAATCCCATGCTCAAATCAAGACCATCTCCAACCATCTCTTCCCAGCCAAGGTTTTGCCTACCCAGGTCTTACAAATCTCTAAGGATGGAGACTCCGCAACCACTCTGGGTAGCCTGTTCCAGTACTTTACTACCCTCCTCATGAGAAACTTTTTCCTAATGTGTAACCTAAACTTCCGTTGCTGCAACTTCAGACTATTGCTCCTGGTTCTGTCATCTGCCACCACTGAGAACAGTC